ATTTGGTGGAAATTGATGAAAATATTATACATCTTTTTGGTGCCTCCTGTGAGGAACTATTCGATTCTGATTCAAAGTAAGATTGATAAGTATGGCAAGCCTGAATCTACGTACTTCAGCGCAAGCCGCGATTGTGCGCATTGGAAAACTGACAGAAGCAGCTACTTACGATCCGGACAGCATTGAGTGCGATGTGATTCGCGGACAGTTGGATAAACATTTCGAGAGGTTCATGGAGTATCATAATGACTTGGTTTCCTAAGCACAAGCCAGTGAATTGACCACGCATGACGAATTCCTGGCTGCAACGGAATTGCTGTACACACAAATATGTATTCGACTACGCCGGATATGTGGCGCAAGTGCAGGTGATAATCGTGTAACGAATCAATTGGACATGCGATTAGATCCAATTAAGATTCCTGTGTTCAATGGTGATCCAGCGAATTGGCTGCCTTTTAAGGATTTGTTTGAGGCTCTGGTTCATAATCGTACAGATCTGGATTCTAGTTACAAATTGAGTAAGTTACGCGACATGTACATTACACATTAACATCCGAAGTCCAAGTTGATGACTGCGAAAAGATCTTCAACGACACAGTCACCCGCACTTCAGACGGTAGATACCAGGTGCAAATTTTATTTCGGCCAGATGCTCCTGCACTTGGCGAATCTCATCAATCGGCAGTTCGCCAGTTTTTACAACTCGAGCGGCGTCTGATGAACGACCCATGTCTTCGTGAGCAGTACATCACATTTATGCGAGAATATATTGCTCTCGATCATATGGAGGTTAGCAGAGAAACCTTCATTGGCAAAGAAACTGGTTACTTCATACCTCATCATGCTGTAACCACAAAATTTCGCGTGGTTTTCAACGCTTCCGCGAAGACTTCTAATGGGACATCCTTAAACGATACACAGTTTTCTGGACCTCAGTTACACGCAAATATTGTCGACATTCTTAACCGTTTTCGCAAATTCAACGTAGCAATTACTGCAGACGTTAAGAAAATGTTCCGACAAATATTGATAGACACACGACATCGTAAATGGCAACGAATACTTTGGCGTGAATCACCAGATGAACCTCTTCAAGTATATGAATTGAAGACGGTAACTTATGGAATGGCTTGTAGCCCATTCAACGCAATACGCGCACTGCGTCAATGTGCGAATGACAATTATAAGGTCATCTATGACCCAAGCCGGGCTGCCGCAGCGCGTCATAGCATACTTTATAATTTCTACGTTGATGACTATTTGGATAGCGTCGACAGCGACGAACTTGCCGTTACCCGAGCTCAAGACGTAGCAACGGTTTTTGAAACAAGGACAATTAATATTGGGAAAGTGGAATTCCAACTCTACACATGTATTATCTACAATAACCGTACAACAGCTTCCGCATCGGAACTGGAGTTAGACAACTCAACGACAAAGTATTGGGTCTTTACTGGATCTAGTGAGTGACGGTCTCCATCTTCGTTTCTAGAGCTGATTACCAGTGGATTATGACATCCACGAAAGACAAGCGGATACCTCTCGTAGAGAAATTTAGCAAATTGAGTCGTTTACTCAACACCACTGTTTGGTTAAGGCGATGGTTACCGAAATACGTGGTTACAGGAACGATGTAGTTTCTCTCGAGAGCAGCGATGGGCGTTACTTCTACACGTTCGACAAGCACAAGGTAATCATTTTAAACACGAAACTAAATCGCTTGCATTGCATTCCAGGATTGTGGGTCGTAGTCAAATCATAGCACTCAAACCATTCCTGGATACTGACGGCATACTGAGAGTAGGTGGTCGACTCACCAACACCGACTTAGATGAAGCTCATCGACATCCAATTATAATTCCACGTGGGGCCCTGGCTTACTTGCTAGTCTCTGATGCGCATACACGTTGCCTACATGGTGGTATACAACAAATGCCAGTTTCTTAGACAACATTTCTGGCTTATAGAGGGCACGAACTTAAGTAAAGTCTTTCATCTGGACATGCACTACATGTCGTAGGCATCTTCAAATTCTACAACGCCAGCAAATGGCTTCGCATACGCTGCCATATTGTTTGTATGGCTTCACGAGCGGTTACATATTGAGCTGGCAGGGACTTGAGTACACAGGCATTTATAGATGTTTACGATCGCTTCATTAGTCGAAGAGGTATATGCACCACTTTATACAGTGATAATGGAACACAATTCGTAGGCGCGAATCGTCAAATACAGGAGGACTTAAGAAATTGGGTAGCGACATATGCTCAACAACATTTGGCAGCTGAAGGTACCTGTTGGAAGTTCATAACCCCTTCCGCACCTCATCATGGAGGTCTATGGAGGCGGCAGTTCGTTCGGCTAAAAGCATCTACTGCGGGTCATGGGCAGCCAGACGCTGCGTTACACTGAGTTGTCCACTCTCTTGACTCGCATTGAAGCGTGTCTGAATTCGAGACCACTGATAGCTCTCTATGATGATCCTGAATGTGGGATAGCTCTAACTCCGGGGGACTTCCTGATCGGGCGTCCACTTAATTGCTGCCCAGATCCCCCATTACCTGAAGCTCCAGAAAATCGTCTTCGATATTGGCAACGACTCCAGAAAATGCTGGAGCACTTTTGGCGTCGCTGGCAATCCGAATACCTACAAACTCTCCAAACTCGGAATAAATGGACTAGAGCGGAACCAATGTGCAGCGTGGTGACATCGTTCTTATACGTGGTGAAAATCTACCACCATCGGTTTGGCGTATGGGACGTGTTATTGACGTTCACCCGGGCAGTGATGGCCTAGTACGTACCGTGACGATAGAGTACAATGCAAACCAGAGATCATCGGATGGAATTCCTATTAAACAGCGGTGTCAGCGACCGGTGCAAAAATTATGCCGCAACGGTCCCGCAGAAGAATTACTAAACCGCGAGGGTTCAGCCGGGCAGGATGTTCAAGATTTAAGTACATTAGAATGCAGTCCTGTACACAATTAGAAAGGACACAAACCAATGCCAGTCAGCTGATTGCTAAATGATCAGCATAATTGTGTCTCTCTTTTAGCATTGAATTCTTAGACTAGTCACTCCACTCTAGCGTAGGGATGTAAATGGGAACTATCCTTATGTATATGTAAATATGTATCATATGGCGTGATGCTATATCCCGTTCATCAAAATGTATATTTAAGAGGAATTGAATAAAGAAGCGGCCCTATTCCGTGACAGACGTGTGTAAGATCCAGACGACTTCTCTTTTATTTGGGGGAAATGATGCAAATATTATACAGTGTTCTTTTCAACAATTCAGGGTATGGTTTTTCTTCGAAAAATGCATCCATTATTTCCCTTTCGGAGGGATTTATTTCTTTTCATTTAAGCGAGATTTGATATTATAAATTTAATAACAAACTGAATAGAACAAAATCTTTTAAATTGCTACTTTTGCAGAAAAACAATAATAACTATAATTTTCCGACACTTTTTCATTTGGTTATTACGTAGGGAATTCCCTATTTACTACTTGTACGCAAACTTTTGCATGCTGCCAAATTACTATAGTGCCAGCTTTTCACTGTTTTAAATACTATTAGACTATGGTATAGCACTTAATATAATTCTGCTCTAAAATTTAGTATAAAAAGTTATTTTTTATCGAAAGAAAATAAGATATAAGCATGTACGCAGATATTTTATGGCGATGTGTATAGATCAATAGATATTTTTACACAGCTATATTAGCGAAAACGCAAGAAGATGAAGTGGGCAAAACCTGTATGAAGATTTCTACATTGTCATGAAGTGTGGAAGGACTTGTAAATTTTCTTCCTAAATCAATAACCACTTGATACACCGGTGGAGTCGAATGTAAATTTGCCTGCATTCACTTGTATGCTCTGTATATACACATGCTTACTTAACAGATTTGTAAGGATCACATTATCGACTGAATAAAAACGCATTCCGGTGTTAAATAATGTATTGTAAATCCTTTAAAAATAGCTGAATATTTTCCATAAACTTAGTAATTATGACATCTTGAGTTTTATTCCTATGTTTTCACTATAGATATAAAGATAAATTAAATCATAACAATAATGCAAATTAATTTCTTAACGTACATTTCAAATCGTCACGACTATTCTCTTGCTTTGATTCTGATAACAAAACCGATAAAATTTGTTTTCTGTAAGACCCAAAACCGATACAATTTCTCTTTCGCATCGTAAAACCAATAATATCTAAATTCATGCCACCTAGTACATTTTTTTTATCGGTTTCAATTCTGATTCCGACAACTATCAGATTCTACAATACCTATTTGTTAATTTTATATTCAAGTTTGAAACAAATGAATAATTTTCAAAGTTATTAGTTGATAACATTTGAGAATAATGAAGAAGTAGATGTCTTTATTTCAACAATAATATTATATTTATGGTTTTTAATTATAAAACATTTTACAAATTTAATTTCATTCAGCTCTATTTCTATCATACATTCAGACTGTATCATTGGAAAACGTGGCAAGAGCACACATTAAATTTTCAGTCAAATGGTTGCTACAATAATATTTCCTGTATAATCTTTTGATTACCAAACGTGTACCGTTACATAATTGAGGTGAATCGAAATTTCTCTAAATAATTTTAACCGAATTATGTGATGCAATCGAGTATATCTAGATAATTTACGTTTTATTTTCATTAACAACAATTGCGAAATAGACGATTCTAAGCTATTACTCGACCAAATCAGTTAAATCGTTCGTGAGTTATAAATATTGTAACTACACGACTCTTTTTCTTTTACACATACAATATGTTTTTAGGCTTTTCAGATAATTTTTTAAATTTATATCTGGGAAGAACCATCCTTGTCCTGCAAGCAATATTCTAAAAAAAGAATAGGAAATCGGTTTCAGCTGTCCTCGAGATTCTGACAACTCATTCAGTGATTCATTTTAATATAGATATATTCGTCATCGATGCTAGCTATGAGATACATTAAATACTTTACCAAACAGACAAACCGACGGACGGATCTATCTATGTCGATTAGTTTGTGAGCAACATGTTGCAGGAGTATAAAAAGAACAAAGAACAGATAAAGGTAAAACGAAACCCATTTAAAAATAAACTGTTCGTTTAAGACAATCCGTTAACAATACTACTAAGATACAGAAATATTCATAAATCGATTTTAAAACTGAGAGACATTTGTCTCTTTAGAATCTTACCGCACTAGACAGCTCCACGGTGAACACTTACAAATATAATAGCACGCTCGTAATGACAACAAGCGACTAAAACCAATTATTTCCACAGCACATGAACTGACTGATGCAGTAACATACAATATACCACCAGCCAATACCTTATCAGACAAATAAAAATAGTAGATAGTGTATAATATAATTATGAACGAAATAAGTAGGGATAACAAAGAATTATTCGAACAAATATTATTTATGTTGTACGTTAGGTATAGGAAAAATACGAAATGCGAAAATGATAATGCAAAATAGATGCAGCCACTCAATATAATCTTTGAATGTAATAATTGCATTACCCAAACCAAAGATACCTATTAAATAATACTATTACACCCCAAAACTACAACTACAGCAAAACTGGAAAGTGCATTAATATAAAATAACATATGCAAGAGAAATTAAACAAGACCCACTGCATTGCATAAACTCTTAGCGGAGAGAAGCGATTACCACTACGAAAACAAACCTATAATTAAGTTAATCAAGGAAGGAACAACACACTCTCTCTTTAATCGAATAGTTCCTCACAGGAGGCACCAAAAAGATGTATAATATTTTCATCAATTTCCACCAAATAAAAGAGAAGTCGTCTGGATCTTACACACGTCTGTCACGGAATAGGCCGCTTCATTATTCAATTCCTTCTTAAATATACATTTTGATGAACGGGATATAGCATCACGCCATATGATACATATTTACATATACATAAGGATAGTTCCCATTTACATTCCCTACGCTAGAGTGGAGTGACTAGTCTAAGAATTCAATGCTAAAAGGAGGACACAATTATGCTGATCATTCAGCAATCAGCTGACTGGCATTGGTTTGTGTCCTTGCTAATTGTGTACAGGACTGCATTCTAATGTACTTAAATCTTGAACAAACACATTCTTTCATACGAAGGGCAATAAAAAAAGTACAAATATACGGGCGTTTTTGTATTTCGGCGCGTCCAGGGCGGCCAAAAATACTAGCACAGCGTGATACTCGTAACGAGTTGCTAAGTATGAAGCATAAGCTTCATGTCTCATGATGGTGAGGCGCCAACAGGGTTGTATGGTCAAGTCGCGCACAAGAACTCAATAATATCGCTGGTCAATAGGTAAGTGCATAATGTTTTTGCGAAAGAGCACAATTTTGATGTGAAGAAGCATTAATATGAGGAATATATTTATAGAGTTCACCATGGTTATATATACATACCTTAATATTTTATAAATACATTTGAAGCGAAGAGCGGAAGAATTGAGTCTTGGAAAAGACCCCCATTTTCTACAGGATAACGACCTATTGAATCTTGTCGTTGTTCTTCTATAGTATTTGGCGTCGATTTTTTAAAAGAAGATCCTTTGGAACCGTACAAGTTTAGGACCCACGAGTACTTCCCAAACATTTTTTAAATTTAATATTTAATGATTTGACGTGGGGCAAGATAGTTATACGGTAATGACTGCCGTGTGGAAACTATTATTGAGTCGGGTCATTGTTGAGTGTATAATATTTGAATTGATATCACTTCCAATTAGTGTGTCCGCAAGTTTCCGTTGGCTGCTAGAATCAATTCCAGATTCTTAATACTTAACTTTGGGTCTATTGAAAATGAGGATAAATTATCTGTAGGGGTAATGACTGATTGTGTCAATATTTTCTAATCTGTTTTTAAAGTTGATCAAAGAGTGATTTCACAAATTTGGCTTAAACCACGTTGTTTAGTATATTCGATTGGGCTGATACAAAGTAAGAGAGTATATCTTAGTAGACTTCAACCTGAACTGTGGCAGTATCGAGTAATATTTGCTTCCTCTTCCGATGTGTACAAGGTGTGCTCACAGGAAAAGGTGAATTTTGAATTTATTTGAAAAGTACATATTTATTTTTCAATACTCGTATTTGTGTTTTGCGTGAGTATTTGGGTTTCAGGGGCCTAAGTTTAGACTCTTCTCTGGTTAGGATTCAAGGCAGGAGTTGAATTCTCTGTATCCCAAAGTATTGTGTTTTTTGTGACATTTACTACACGAGTAATTTTTTATATAGTTCTTCTGGCTATGCAATATTGCTAAGCAATTATAACAATAGCCATATTTTTTTGATGGTGAAAATACGCTAATGCTGAAAAAAATGCTAATATAGTGGAAATATTTTCTAGGGTATATTGAAATGTTTTCAAATTTTTGTCAGGGAGTTTTGAACTATAAAGATACATAAAGGGACTACCAACAAGAACGACGTGATGTTAAAATGAAATAAAATTTAGCAATATTAGTTAAGGTTTTGTTGCTATGCAGATATTTGTATGCCGTTTGCATATCTCCACCCGTGTACGCCAATTTTCGATGACCCGATGAAGCATTTGAGCTATAGTACGCTGAATGTTGTCTTCGAGCTCCTCGGGCGGTTCTTGTTGATTGGCGCAAATTTTTGATTTAACGCACCACAGAGAGAAGAATCTAGAGGCGTCAAATATCATGGTATTGATAGCCATTTGACTGGGCCATTTCTCGAAATTAACGAGTAGCCAAACTTTGCACGCCTTGTGTCCATGTTTAGACGTGAAAATTAGATAACGTCCCCTTCGATTTCATTAAATTTCGGAAAGAAAAGTCGGTCAACATCGTGTTTTAACGCTTTCTATTAATGACTACGTCATTTCCTGTCTCATTTCGAAAGAAATAAGGCCCGATGGCGGGGAGAACAGATTGGTTGATAGAACTATACTACG